CAGGTGTGAGCTAAAGATTTTAAATTCATCTACCACACACGCAAATTTTTGATGTTTTTCTTCACTGGAGCTACTTTCGACTACTTCCCTCTCTCATAATAAATCGGGTCCAAAGGAAGCATGGGCAGTTTTTATGCGTTTTTTACGTCTATGCAATGCAATGTTTTTACATTTATACAATCTTTTTTACATCGAGGGATTGTCTGTATGTGTGTGCGTGTATGTGTGTGTGTGTTTATATGCGTGTATGTGTGTGTGTGTGTGTATGTGCATGGTGTTCGTCTGTACCGACTTTTTAAGTTGTAGATCGATGAATTAAAAAGCGCTTTTTTTTCAAATTTATTATAAAATTGATCTTCAAGAAGGGTTATCATATGATTTTTATTGGGAATTTTGCCTTTGTGCGGCTATAACATATTGAATTCCGTGCGTGGGAACTCCTTCCGTCTCTCATCGGCTTTCGCTGCTGTTTTCCCCTGCTTCCTGCCTAATTCTAGAACAACGGATCTGTTGTACATAGGTAACTTAAGCTTATTTTGTTCCACTGTTGAAACTGCAAGCAGTAATAGAAAGGTATTTTGAAATGGGAAGGAGAATGGAAGGGGAAATAATATTAAGAAATTAGTTGAAATAGTAAAATTATTTTGATAAAATTATTATGTTAGGAAATGTTTCGGTCTATTAAGTCGTATACATTTCTTACCATTACCACAATTGGACCTTGTCTTTATGACGATGGTGGTTGTTAGTAAAAATAGAAAGTATTATAGTTGGATTTTTTTTTTTCAGCAAGATGGTTATTTTGCAACCAAGTCTGCAATTAAAACAGAATCCGATTCTGAGGCAATGGGAGAAGAGGATGTGGAGGAAGAGGAAGTATTCTGTGATGCGGTTGATGGTAAGCATTCGCCTGTTTTTTGCTTTTGTGCAGCTAACTTTGTAGATGATTTGAGAAATGCAATGAATCCAGCTTTCCTTTTGAAGAAAAAGGAGTATGAAAGCAAAGAAATAGGTACTAACCCGAAAGGCTAGCCAACTGGTGCAAAGGTTTTTACAGAAAAGCGCCAGAAACTCTTTTGGCATGCCAGTATGCCAAAAGCATCAGCTTCATAAATAGAGAAGTCCAGTACTGCAAACAGGCTTTCGACAAGTCTCCTCGCATAAGCTCAGTTTTTATTTGCTTTTGCTTTCTTTGGCTTTCATTCATAGGTTCTGTTTCTTTGATTTCGCTTTTTTTCATTTTTTTTTCTCTTTTTAGTTAATTAGATTATCGGTTTAAATAATGTCTTGGTGAAATCGTGCAATATTTATTGCTTTTTTTTCAGATTTGAGCAAGATGCTGCCAGAATTGTTGTCTCCGCAAGTAAGTGATTATTATTATTGTTATAAAGATTTCCATCATAGAGAATTTATGCTCTACAGGAATGAGCAAAAAGCAAAAAACTATCCAATAACATTGCAGACGATCAAGAAATCTGAACTGCCTACC